ACAGTGCGCTTGAAAAACCAACCATTTTTGCAACACATACATCAACAAATGTTTGTTTACGCCACTATTCGTTTGCTAACTTCAGTTATCACAAATCTCATTAACTTCAATTACCACAATCGTCCAATTGTGACAATGGCAAGGCTTAATGGTCCGAAACATTTCTTACTTTATTCTAATAATCTCACAAATTTCCTAATTTTCATTTCTTACTTTCTTTTTATGCGTTTTGTGCTGTGTAACAGCAGTACAAAACGCGTATTGTTACGGGGTTGTCTGTGTGCGTTTGTGTGTGTGTGTGTGTCCGCAGCAACTTGTCCACAACTTTCAACTCGGGAACTACAAAAGCTAGGAAGCTGAAAATTTAGGGCAGCGTCCCCCACCCACGTGTGACCCCGCAAATTTAAATTCAGCTTCCCGTACCTGTGGGTAACACGTGCGAACTCAGCGAGTAAATTAATATCTCGGGAAAGTTTCTTACGAGTAAATTAATATCTCGAGAATCACGGAGTCTAGCAGGCTGAAATTTTAGGGTAATGACCCCCTGCCCACGCTCAACCTTGCCCATTCAAATTCAGCGTCCCTGCGCTCTCGGGTATCATCTGCGGGCCAGTGAAAGTTTTTACGGGTAAATTAATATCTCGGGAACTGCAGAAAGATATTCACCCTTCATGGTTTCGAATTCAGCTTTCATGCGCTGTTGCGTGAAATTTTCAACTGTTTTCCAATGTTTGAGCTGTTTTTGCATAGACTAAAGTACAAAGCAGTGAAAATCATTAAGAGGCAATTGTTCGATGGGCTGAATTGCACAAAATGGATGATCGCACCGGCTAGTCTGGTGCGCGCTGCCATTTATTTCTCTTTATTTCATTCCTTCTTCTTATAACTCTCGATTACTTGAAGTATTTGCTAATACTTTGAGTTTGTTTTTTCATCAGCGTAACTGCAAATTTTCTCTTTTGTTTGACCAATGCTGCATCCGCCTAATGGCCAGCCGCTGACCGTCTTGACATCGTTTCGTCTCCTGAAGAGATTACAGATTGTTAAATATCATTTGGTAAAAAATTTGTTCTGTTTCTCGCCCTCTTTTTGTGTCTTTTAATCCATTATAGTTCCCTTTCCAATATAAAAGAAAAACGGTGATTCAGGTAGTCTTTGGAGAAACGGTACGTGTACTTAATAGAGATAGAGTGTAAAAATTGAAATCGGGCAGCTTGGGGGGCTCCAAAATATAGGGAAATGTAAGGGTCATTAGATGGCCGAATGAAAAGTGGACGGTCTAAAGTGAGGCGGTGGCCGAACCAGATGAAATTAAAAAATTTTTTTTTGGCTACTGATAGGCCGAATCTAACGTTCTGAAATAACGGCCAGTCTGAGCAGTGCAGAACACAGAACGCCTGAAATCCA